TAAATACAAGCAAATCTGCTGTGGACCGTCCCCAACATGTTGCCCGCATCGGACTCGGCTGAGCAACACATTTGTCAGATCAAATGGACTCTGGAAGGTCATGTGGCACGACTGTCTGCACTGCACACTCCTGCTGCTTCTGCAGCTGTCTTCACGCTCCACCCATCTTCATCATGTCTGGAGGTTGTTTTTTTGTGTGTGTTTGTTTTACTGGAATGTGAGGTGCAAAGAACGTGTGCAGATCAGGTAGCAAAACGACGGTCTGAAACAGAGTTAGTGACGCCGTGATCCCAGCAAAAACTCAATGAAGACAACACTGGAAGCATTACCACTGCAAGTTTAATATCCGATCTCAACACAATGAAATAATGAAACTTTTACCATAACAAAAAGCAGTAATCCCTTTACATTCATCAGTCACTCCAAGAAAACAAATGTGAAACTTTGCTTTGAGATGAAGAGCTGAAAATCTCACCTTTAAAATTGTTTCGTATTATTTCCAACATTTTGAGATGTCGCAATAGAACGATGTTTTAACATTTCGCCATCTAACAAATGAAATGGTAAAACTCTTAGTATGGTGATAAGCAAGTGTAAAATTATATAATTTCAATATCATGAGGCATAGTTGACCGAAAAAAGGAAAAAAAAGCTCAGTCTTCCGTTGTGATAATGTGATGAAAACGTTAAAAATATAAACATAAAAATGAGTTTGAGGTATTCTTTTTACAAGATGTTTAGGAAACAAACTTATAGCAACAGAATGAGAATTGGGTCTTCCTGACCTAAAGAGATAGTAAAACTTATGATAAAAATTGAATTATGATCTTAATTGTCATGCTCAGGTAAGGTAATGAGTTCTTTATGGTTTTAAAACTTTTAATTCTTAGATGACAATTTTAATAAAACCCAAAAACCATTTAGAAAAATTACACAAAATCACAATTTTTTTTTTCAAACTTAGAAATCAAAATAGTTCAAAAATGATGAGATGTCTAAAATTCTTATTTGTGCAACAAGATTTATGTCTGACATCCCCTTAGAAAATGAATGTATGTTTGAGCCGCAGCAGTTTGTTTTTGAACTCCACTGAAAGACGAGCTTCCAAAAAACCAACAACCTAATTCTGGTGCCAAGAAGAAAAGCCAGCGGAGAGCGTGCGCTCCCGTCTCCAGACAGGTGGGAAGACTGCATGCTGCATGCAGCAGACTATATACCCGAGGGGTGACATTAAAAAGCGATGTGTATGTATGAGAGCGTCGGGTGAAGAAGCAAAGGGTAAGATGTGAGCGAGACTAAACTCAAAAGGGCGAGAGACAAAGAGAATCATTTCAGGGGGAGACACAATCCAACAGAGACATGCAGATGGATGAGCTGCAGACGCTCTCTGCATGTTTTAACACCCACATTCAGCCCCTGAAAAGTGTTTTTTAAAAAAAAATATATATATATTATTTCTAAGTTTTTAACAAAAAGATTCTACATTCGACTTGTTTGTGTTCTGGTGAGAAAATGTTGTTCCTAAACTTGTGGAGAAATGAATCGAAGCATTTAAGGTAAAGTGGAAATTGAAGCCTTTTCTAAACGCTCACAGCTGACATTCGGAAAAGAATAAGTTAAGAATGTGACACGGAAAGTGACATGATGAGAGGCGGAGGAGGTGCAGAAGGTGCAGAGAGGGAGCAGGGTGTGACCACCACCAGGATGAACGTTCAGGAGGTTTTCCTATCAGTGTAGCATTCTCTCTCAGTGACTCCTAACCAGGAGACAGCAGGACTCAGATGGTTTTACCAAGGTGAGGATGTAACACCCAGTTTGTTGTTGTTTTTAGCAGACTTTAAAACGTCCTCTTTTACCAGTGCTTTTAAAGTCAATTCAGTGAAATTGGCTGAAATGACCAGACTGTTTTTGTGTGTGTGTTTTTTTTAAGATTTAGGTTTAGCTCGAGTTCATCTGTAAAGATGTCACTGCATTCAAAATTGTCTAAAAATAATTAAATAAAACCAAATACCTTTTTAAAGCCAGGGTGCATTAGCATGTTACATTTGTGTGAGGTCATATTAGCATGTCATACCTAGTTTAGCTTCTAGCTGCTTGTTTTATGTACATTAGCTAGATGTAGCTTGTCATACTTATGTTAGCTTACATTAGTCTGTTATATTTATGTTCGTTTGAATACTTATACAAACTTGTTATAGTTATGTTAACTTAGCATAAGCTTGTTATACTTATGTTAGCTTATATTATTTTGCTACATTAACTTGTTATACTAATTCAGAAGCTCTATTTATTTTCCTTTCGGCTGATTGGCTGAACCCCTAAGAGCGGATATGAGTAAAATGGTGGACGTTAGCTCACCAAGATGGTTTCAACTGTGAATTTTAACGCATATTAACGTGTATTTGGTGTTAGAACTATTAAGTGTCTTCGAGGTAGTCTCAAATATTCACAAATTTTAGCTGGTCTCTAACACCCACAAATACGCAGACCGCATTGTATATTATTTTTACAGGCAGCAGGAGCAAGTGTTGACCTTTAATTTTTAAAAACAAAAGCACTTAGCTCTGTAATCATGTTATGCACTCACTTAAACCTTTTCTACTACCGTAACATTATGTTAATCTCACTCGAGGTTATCACATAATTGGAATTTCCTATCAGGCCGAGTCTCGTCGGGTGTCATCATAGAGCTTTAACATGAGGGAAAGGTTAAATGGACAGACTTTGATAAAAGCACTGAAGTTATAAAGCGCTTTTCTAGACATACTGACCACACAAATCGTTTTACACCAGAGCCACATTCGCCCGATCGCTCTGACACACACGCACCCCCATACCCAGGACTGCGTTTTGAACTGCCAAAGTGAATCCAATAAATTTGAACATGAAGTTCAGAAAGGGTGCTGGAAATCTTCAAAAGGTTCAACCAACTCTCCAACAAGGTCTCCACTTTGATAACTTCAGTCAAGCTCCTGAATGAAAGATTAACAGAATGTTTGGAATATTACATAGAGAATAATTTAGTGTAGGACATTTTACACTTCCAGCACCGAAGAAGAAGAAGAAAAAGAAAAGGACACTGGAATAATCAGGGTCCATGAGGCTGTATCTCAGCCAACCTAACAATGGTCTGTGGGAAATAAATAAATACCATAATAGGAACACACTGCAGCAAACACCTAAAGTGGGCGTTGAACCTCCTGTTTACCAAGGAAGACAGTATCGGTGCTGCACCCAGTGTGCCCAGCGCTACAGCTCACTTCAGGCAGCAGCTGCTGTGTGGTCTAGGTGAGACATTCAACTTCTGACTAAAAGCTTTTCGGTGGATTTTCACTGATGACACAGTAAGAACAGCACAAGTACAACTCCGTACCCTGGAAGAAGTTTACATCCTGACAGATTAAAAGTCACCCTGAAAACAGCTTTCATGTTCTTCTATATCCTTCAATCCGCAGTCATTGTCTTCTCCAAAACTCAACGTGAACTGATTGTTAATAGCATAAACCGACAGATTTACCTAAGCAGCTGACAGGAGGCTATACACACCGCAGCATGAGATGCTTCCTCTGTTACCAAGTGAGGAGGAAGGCTTCCACCGGATTGGAAACGTAACGAGGTCTTTATAGAGCAACGCTGCCAGAGGAGTAACAGTCATAGTTGAAGTAAAATAAGGACATGAAAGAGACAAAGCAACAAAAAGTTTGCAGGTATTAGACTATTAATAATGCCACATTTATGTAAACCTGGGAAACTGTTTAGTCGGTTTTTGAAACCTCAAAACTGGACAGCAAAAATGGGACAAGACACACTCAGTCAAAACAACTTTCAACACGCCTCAAAAAACTGTAATTACAAGTCAGTTCAGGACCCTGGTCCAAAAGCAGAAAAATTTGCTTAACAATTAAAATATTACCTCGCGATATTGAAATAGTAAACAAGGGCCTAACAAAAGTAGTGATGCTATGGTCAGGGTTTAAATTAGACTGAAAATGACTTAAATATATCCAACAAAAGAAAACATACTATATTCACAAAAAGCCTTATTATGTCACTTTTACTATGAACAATCTATGAATTTATAAACAATATCAGGTCATCTGTGTGAGCTGGGCTAGCATTACACTTGTCAAAGTATTTGGTCTAAATTTGACTTGTTTTGCATGTAAACTGGTCGGATCTGATTACCCATTTCATTCATTTTTCGGAATAATTACACAAAAATATCACATGTTAGATATTTTATATCTCTAACAGGTGCAAATAAACTTGAAAAAATACACATGTTAGATATTTCACATATCTAACATGTGCATTTATTTCAAGTTTACTTTTTGTTTGGGGAAAAAAAAAACATTTGCATGCAACATTGCGGCACTATTGGCGCTCCATACACATTTTCTAGTTAACTGTTACAAACACGCCTTGGGCAGACTGCAGAGCAGGAACTTTCCACTGCATGTTTCTGATCGAAAGGAAAACTTCTGTTATTTGTGTATATCTATGAAGAATAACGACTAGCTGACCCCGAACGAATGGCGACACCAAACGGCGCAGTTATATTGACACAAAAACTCCCCAAACCCATTTTCGGACACACTTGTCAACATCGCGCTTATCTCAGTTTTCATCTCGGACAGTCCGCTGGTGTATTTCACCAGTCTTTTGTCATTTAGTTCTCCGCACATTTTCAATTCAGATGATGAATTATACAGTAAAATTGGAAATTAAAAAGCAGTTTATGAGTCGATACCAGGTAGATAAACAATAACTTCTGTGCAGCACTATGGCGGAAGGATACTCCGAAAGTGTGTCAAAACACAGTAAATGGTTGTTTTAACTTTTTTATTTCAACATTCTATCTTTGCTTAGCTTTAAATATGAACAGGCTGGTGTGTCACTCTGGTTAATAGTATGAGTTTCCAGGTCTTAAACGACAGTGTCCGATAATGGGTTTCCAGCTACTAGCTCTGTGGCTCTATAAGTGTCCGTGCTGTAATTACCTCGTCGGTCGAACATTTCCGTCACTTTCTCCCCGGGACTCTTCGGCCTCCCCTGCAGACCAGTTCTCGTCGTCCTCCACCGTCACGTCAGCTCCAGTGACCGCGCTGCCCGTGTTCTCCATGCAGAACTCCTCCGCGGCACCATGTTTTACCGAGGTCGCCGCCGAACCCCGGCTGTCGGACCCCGGCTCCAGTCCGGTGGCGGAGCCCTGAGCTTCGGAAGTCCCGAACCCTATGAGCGCCTTCAGCAGCAGCAGCAGCAGGAGGAGCACCAGGGTAATGCTCACGCTTCCAAAGTGAAGCCCCCTTTCCATTTGTAAGACTGGCACATTAGTAAAGTAGCTGATTTACGTGCCACTAAGCAAGTAAACCTGAACATGAAAATAATGAAAGTGTAAAAAACTGAAACGTTATAAAAAAAATGTCTCTGCGTCTGGAAATACGCCCCACTTGAACGTGTTCTTTAAGTAAACATAAACAGCCTCTGGGACACCATGTTATTCCCTTTATACTAAACTGAGTCTTGCCTTGGTTACCTTAAATCCCGCCTTGTTTCTACACTGGGATTGGACACTAAAAATCATTCTCGCCATCACATTGAAAATATTGTTATCTCATTGCGCAATTTACTGCCAATCACGTGTCCTCGCACACTAAGCAGAATCTGATTGGATTAGATATGCGTCAGTCAAAGGGGCGGGCTCAGAGCGAACCAGCCCCTCCAAACAGTGACCGCCATTGGCTGATTCGCTGCCTGTGACGTAGACGCATGCATCCTGTCGGAGCTGACGCAAAAAAGTCCCTGATGGCAGTTCCTGCTGAGGGTTGCCGGTTGGTCGGATGTGCGGCTTTCCGTCCAATAGAGAGGCCGTTTCGAGAAGCAATGACGCCATTGGTTGATTCGGACATCTTGGATGAGCTGGATTGGTTCATTGAGATGTCACTCAGCGTGGTTGTCAGGCCCAGTCAACATAAAATCTTCAACGTGGCTTAAGGTTACAGCGGTACAGTTCCTGGTCACGAGTTGTTTCTCTAAATAAATTAAGTGTAGTGACATAATACCTGCATTACTTAATGTCTCCGCCGCCACTTTACACAAATTTAATCAGGAAAGCAACTTTTTTCTCGAATGACTTCAGTGAGTCACTGTATATAAAAGTGAGCTGTTCGCTGCCATCTGTGATGTTTGTGTTTCGAGCGCCACCTCCTGGTCACAGAGCGACATTCAATTTAAAATCTGAGACTTCTGTACAATTAGTTTAGAGCATCTACAGAGCTTTAATAGTGTTTCTGTTTTGCTATAAATCATAATTTAAATCAAGGTAAAATCTGCATTTACTGCACTTTCTAAATACGTTTTAGTCTGTAAACTCCATTATTTTAGTTAAGACAAGAAAAGCAGTGAACTTTACAAAATGTTGAAAATGCTTGAAAGCCTCGTCTTGACGTAACATTTCATTCATCTCGGTTTATTTTCACAATATGAAACTTCAACAAATATAAATAACTATAATAATTATTTGGATCATGAATAATTTTTTTCACACTCAACTTTTATTGGAGCAAATTATGTTCCAACAATTCAGACATAAAACAAGCATGGGTTATAATTTGGTCCTGTATGGGTTACAAGAAAAAGAAAAAACAAATCACAGTCAACTGGTTAAAAAAAGAAAGTGTTGCTGGTGCAAAAGTATTCATGCACAGTGTAGTTTTTGTTCATTATGTTTTTAAAGCATAGCTTTTCACTTCAGAAACTTTACTGCAGCGTCACAGACAACTTTCACGGTTTCAATTCAACAGTAACTTTTTGGAAACTGAAAACATTTCAGTTTTCAGTCTCCCACAGTTAGAAATTTGATGCTTGCATGTTACAGTATGAGGCACTGCATCACCAGTTTAAAACAGATGCAAACTATGACAGTAAAAGCCTATAAAAGAGAATTAAAATAGGGCTTTAAGAGGCAACCTGATCTATTTGAAAGATGGAAACAGCAACACAAACCTCCGTTTTTGAGATTTGCCCACTATATTTGTGTTGGAAGGTAATTTTTAATTTATCACCATCATCACTGGTTTTCATTTTTAAAATAAGCTTATGGCACAAGACTTCCTGCTCCCAAAGACCTGGTGTGAAGAGAAACTGTAACCCAAGTTCGCCACAGGCACAAAACAATCACACAATAGAGTTTATGCGGCAAACCGTGAAGTTGCGTTCTTCTCAGCTGACTCGTCTGCAAGAGGAGTTGATGCAACCGAGGAGGAAACCGCCAGCATTTTCTAAACCTTTTCAACTTCTCTCGCTCTTTTCCTTTTGACACAGAAATGGAAAATGAGCCACAAAATGACGAATGCCACAGAGTGTTCTTGTTGAACATCGAGCTTCTCAGAAGAATGTGTCGTTTCTGCTTTGTTAGAGGGAACATTTTACGGCTCACCTTTGCTTTTTATGGTACGTCAGAGTTTGTTTTGACAGATTGCATGCTGCTGCATCTAAAGGTTCAAACCCAACTGCTTCATTCTTGAGCTCTGATCTGTGCTTTTTTGTGCATTTTTTATCATTACACTAACGCGACACATGCAGTTAAGATTTTTAAATGTAGTTTTAAAATCAAAAAGGCACAGCTTTGTTTTATTCAGCCAAACTCCGGTGACCCGCTCAGCTTTAAAACCCAGTTCTGCGTCTGTTCAGTCAAACTCCTCCAACAGTAAAATCTGCCAGCTGGCTTTTTCTCATCAGGCACTTAAAACAAAAACAACAACAAAAAAACATAAAATCAGAAGCAGAACCTTCTGAATGTGAAAGTAAATCAGTTCTTCGTTTGGAACTTCTTTAGCGAGGTAAGAGAGCTTCCCTGCTGTAGCTGGGGTTGGGTTGTGAGCTGGCACTTTGTGGGCGGAGCCTGCAGCCAACTCATTAGTTGATGGGAGCCTTCCGCACCTTCACACTTCCGTCTTCCATCCCAAAGTACGCCCGTTCGGCCATGTGGACAAAGAGCCCCGTCTCCACCACACCTACGACACGGAAACCGACTCAATGCCATCAGAAATCAAAACATTTTGAATGTTCGCTCAACTTTTCTGGGGATTTTACGTGGCCAGCGTTCCTCACCAGGAATCATCTTGATGGCAGTGTTGACCTCGCTCCAGTTGTGGACGTGCTCAAACTTCCAGTCCAGGATGAAGTTGCTGTTGTCGGTGACGATGGGACCCTGCGAGCCAGAAAGCACACGGCCTGGTTTCGATCAGAGTGAAAGGAGCAGCGAAAGCCCGACTGTGTCACCTAACCCGGGTCTCTGGGCGTGTCTGCGCTGGACATCAGTGTACCACCGCTGGTCACTTTTAGAGCTTAAGTACAAAAAAACTTTTTTTTCAATTTTCTTTGTCCCCCCTCCCCTCATTTGCTGCAGAAATGTAAGAAGCTAATATTTCTGAAGTCTATTTCTTTAAATGTGAAATCAGACAGGATGCTGTCTATGCCAGCTCTAATAAAAACTCTCTGGATTGTGAATGAGAGTAATTCTAAGAGTAATCCACCTGTCCTGAAACCTGCCTGGACATAATCTGTCCTTACCTCAGAAGACCCTTCATCATCATCATCGTCTCTGCTGCTGGCCTCTGATCTAATGTCTCCTCCCTGACTTTGCTCTGTCTATTATGAATATAAAGATTTCTTTTAAATAATGTAAAAGGACAAAAAAAAAAAAAAAAAAAAAAAAAAAAAAAAAAAAAACAATAGTGAGCACAAAAATGAAAGAGGATCAGGTTTATTCCTGGAGTTAAAGAGCCAGCAAAGGACGGAACGTAGCATGGGCAGGAAAAATAAGAAAATAATACATAAAACGATGGATTCTGATGAATTATTTGTGTTCTACCAACGACGGAATCTAACTTAATACTGAATCAAAATGCGACTCAAAATTGAATTGAGGTTCTTATCTGTACCCAGTCCTAATTTACAACCTTAGACTGAAAATTCAACTGTTAAGAAATTCACTGGAAGAACTCAAGTGAAAACAACAAAGAAAAGTACTTCTGCAAGAGACGCTAAAGTGAGAAAAAAAGATTGATCCTACTTACTGCTTTACTGACCGCCATCCTTAAATTGACCTCCCCTCCAAAACGCTTAGCTATCACCCTGGAGACGGGAACATACGCCATGGGGATGACCTCGATGGGAACGCCCTTCTTCCACTGCTCCCCCAGAGCTCTGGAATCCTTTCTGGGACGACAAAAAAATAAATAAAAATTTCCGTGAGCCAAGCGATTTTAAAAGCTGGACAAAAAAACATTCCCACCACTCTTACTGGCCGATACAGACCTGTAGTCAGCAATGACGACGAAACATTTGGAGTTGCCGGCGACGATCTTCTCCTGAGTGAGACAGCCGCTGCAAAACGGAGAGAGGACGGGTCAGAAAGGTCGGAGGGCCTCGAGCCGAGCCGTCTGCGGCTGAACACTCTCACCCGCCGCCTTTTATCAGCGTGAGCTCAGCGTCCACTTCGTCCGCACCGTCGATCGCCACGTCCAGCTGAGCACAGGAAACGCACAGTTACTGCCGCGTTTGGCTTCCGCCGGCGTTATGCTGACGCTCATCATACCTCTGGGTGTCTTTCCAGGTCCGACAGCGCCAGGCCGTGCTGCAGGATTAGCTGTCGAGCCTGTGGGAGGAGAGAGAGCGCTTCGGTTTGACAACTTGCATTACTATGCCATCGTGACAGGCTAAACTCCAAACCACATTGCTCTGTGGAAACGTTTGAGCAAGACATGGTTATCATGTGGCAACTTCTTCAGAACATTTGTGAACACTCAAGCGTTCACGTTGCTGAGTCGAGTGAGACTTGAGTGCTTTGGGTGTTTTGGACTGACCTGGAAGGAGGTGGGCACGCACACAATGTTGAGCTTTTCCTGTCGAACTCTCTCGGCTGCGTCGGATGACACGCACGAGAACAGATGGACAGAGAGAGAGAGAAAGAGAATTCAAGAGGCAATTTTAATAACTAAACTGAATCGTTCAACTATTCAGTTCTGTTGTGAACAAGGAAGAATGTGCAGAAGCAACAGCTTCTTAACTAAAATAAGCATCACTTTCAGCTCCACTCTAATCTACTACATTCCACTGCATACGAAGGTGTCAGAGAAACATATTGTTAATGCATTACCCTGATAAAACTTTGACTAGACGGAATTTCAGGGGACTTAATCAAGGCTTATGGAGGCTTGACTCACCTAACCGGTCCACAGCATACACGATGGTCGACCCACTGCCCACTCCCACCACCTGATTGTTCTGGAAAACAACCCATTCAACCATTTGATATTTTACACATTTAAAGATCAGCAAAAATGCGCATGCGTATAAACGTGCCTTTGCACACAGTATTTCCACTTCCAGTGCTCTCAGAAAGTATTCACCTAACCTAACTATGCTGTTGTGTACTTGGACCTTACAGCAGAACAGTTAGCTCAGCAGCTGAGAACAAGTCCGCATAACACTCAGCGAAGTCGCTTTAAAATCCTCCAAGTTAGAGAACACCAATACAGCAACATGGCACAACGTGCACTGAACTGGGAATTAGGCTAACTATGCTAACAGGCTGAGCCTAGCGGCTGCACTTCACACACAATTCAAGAAAAACGTGAACATGTCCGCTTGTTAGCTAACAGCGACACGGAGGTCCGCCGTACCTGGACGTTGTTGTCCACGGCGGTGTACGCTGCTAGTTTCTTCGCCTCCTCTGCCATGTCGGCGGCTGCGGACTGACTGAACCTCAGCACGTGTGTGCGACACCTCAGGGAGGATGGAGGAGAAGACGAAGAAGAAGAAGAAGCAGCAGCAGCAGCTGTGAGCTTACGGAGGAACACCCACCTCTGGAGTGTCATGACCCGCCCCACAAAAAAAAAACAACAAAAAAACAAAAAACAACACAACACACGCACGCGCCAGCGCGCGGACGGACTGACGGTCAGACAGAAGCGTCCGCCATTCCTCCAGACAGTCGGTCACGAGTCAAACGGGAGACTCCTCTGGTCACGTATTAACGGCGGTTTTCTTGTACTGCCCGCTTTGTAGCGGTTCGTCGGCAAGTTACGGTGAAACAGCGACGCCACGTGGACGCTGCAAAAACAAACACGTGCCGCTGTTGCATTTTATTTGATTGTATTAGTGACGCTTCACAACAGCACCAAAAGAAAAAAAAACCCTGTTGCCATGGTAACAACAAACTATGACGACTATTCTGTTTAACAGAGTAAACTATTCCTTTCAATCTCAGATATATTTGTTAAAATAAAATAAAAAAATAATTAAAATAATTGAATATTCTGGAACTAGTCAATAAATGTTGACAGTGTTCTTATTTTCAACAGAGAGAATGATGGAGAGCCCTTTTCTCTGCCTTCTCCTTCCTCTCAGATGATTGTCAAATAAAATCAGCTACAGTCTTCAAATGATTTGTTTTTCTTCACACCTTTTTCAAAAGACAAATGAAACAAATATGAAGACTCGCCACACTCAACAAAGCGTTTTAAATGCAAGACTAAATGTGTCATTTTTAGTAAATCTGTCTGAAAATGTTTTATGGCTCCTCAGTCAGTTAAGGTCTGAATGTCTTTGTAGATAAAGAGCCGACTGCGGCGACACCCTCCATCACAGGAAGCAGAAGCGTGGAGGGGAAGATGAGAAACGATGCGAAAAACAGCTATTCAGCTGAAGTTCACTGGAGAGGCAAATTCAAGTTCTAAGAAAAGGTAATTCACTGTGCATCTTGTCCTTTCAGCACACTTCCACAGGTAATTGCAGAATTGCGAACAGATACCGCTGTGATAATTACAGACGAGCTTTCTAGTGTTTCTAAAGTCTTTGACAAGTACTTTGTACAAAAAGTATTTTAAAAAAAAAGTGGAGTAGCACCATGGAGGAGTAGCTGCAGCTTTTTTCATCCTAATATTTAATGGAAAAAGTAGAAGCAGGAATAAAAGAAAAAAAAAGTGATAGATGCTGGGTTTGTTTTTGCATCAAAACAAAGATTACACTTCATTACGATAAAAACTGAAGGGATATGGTTGCTTTTTTTGTAAAACTTTTTAATAAAGTAGTTTTTAATGTGGAGTCCCACAAGATCTGGTGTTTGGACCCCAGATTTTAACTTGTACACAGTGGTGATAAAAAGCATCCCCCCCCCTATGTGAGTCTATTTCTTTCTATACGTTTGTCTTAAAATGTTTCAGATCTTCAAACTGTTAGACAAAGATAATTATTATTATGAACAGACAAAACAAATCCAACCCTACAGCGGTTGTCTAAAAATATCTGAAAGTGGTTGGGTCGGCCTTAGCAACAACTGTAACCAGACGTTTGCGATGAGTTTTTTTCGAATCGTCATAATTCAGCCACACTGGAGGGTTTTTAAGCACGAGTTTTTGAAGCCATGTTCCAGCATTTCAATTGGAGTCAGGTCAGGACTTTAACTAGGCCACCAAGTCTTCATGATGTTCTCCTTCCACCTGTTCAGACCTGAACCTGCTGGTGTGTTTTGGTTCATCGTCCTGCTGCAGAACCCAGGTTGGTTTCACTGACAGATGGCCAGATGGACGGTCTCCTTCAGGATGTTTTGGTGGACAGAAGGATTCATGGTTCTTCCTGGTCCTGAAGCAGCAAAATGGCCCCTGAGCATCACACTGCCACCACTGTGTCTTACTGTTGGTATGACGCTTGCCTTCAGAAATAGTGATATTTTTATGAGGGAGGAATGAAGGAAGGACATAGACAGAAGGAAAAAAAGATGGAAAGAAGAGAGAATATAAAGAGAAAGGAAGGAAGAAAGTAAAGAACAGAAAAGATGGAGGAATGAAGGAGTGGGGACAGAAGGAAAAAAAGATGGAAGGGCATTGAGAAAATGGAAGAAAATGAAGGGAAAAAGAGAGGAAGGAAAAGGAGTGAAGATGGAAGGAAGAAGGGACTTAGGAGAGATAGAAGGAGTGAAAAAGGGGAAGAAATGAAAGAAGGAAGGAAAGAAAAAAAAGAAGGAAGTAAAAAGGAAAGAAGGAAGGACGGAAAGAAGGAGAGAGGAAGGACAGAAGAAACTGCTAATAACTTTCTGTAGCAGATTTAATATCGTTACCAAAGAGTTATGAGAAGAGTGATGACATCTATGGAAATATTAACATCACTATTACTTTTATTTGGCAAACAGCTTGAGTTTCTCTTTTTCGGTATACAGTTTATATATATTTTTATATATATACTATAGTAAACCAACACATTCTGTTTGATAATCATTTTTTCTCAGTTTTATACATATTACAGCTTACAAATATAGCTGATCTTTTTGACAAAATTACAGATTCTGTTTCCGACACCTAAATTAGTATGCTATTATAAAAAAATCACACGTCATACATTCATGATTAGAAAAGGTAGGGCTATATGAAATCAGGAAAAGAATGAACGAAAACGAAAAAAACAACCACAGTTTACGTCAAAAAAACGTTTTTTTTTTTTCGTTTTTTTTTTCTCCATCGGGAGGACCAGGACAGTCGAAGGTTTTTCACGAGTAGAATGTCTTTCGCTCCGAATCAGACCGGCTTGTCCTCTGAGAGGAGTCTGCTACTACTCCGAAAAACATCACCGGCACAGTGAGGATATCGAGGAACAACAACAATACCGCCACGTAGGGAGAAGAATCAGTAAATCTCTGCTCTCAGTCCGAACTTAGAAACTAACTATGACGAACGTTTGATTAAAAACTCAACTTTGCATCGCAGTGTTCCTTCACAGCCTGGCATCTCCTTTCATTTCTCGCTCCGTCCATCGGCGCAGTCTTAAGGCTTAGGTCCATGGAAATGCATCCCAGATTTTCTGCCACGCCTCGAGATCTGCAGCTGCTGAAGTGGGACATCTTTCTTACGTTTCGTAGGACAAAGCTGAGCAGGACTGCATGAAAGGAGATGCCGTTTAAGACCCAATAAAAACCAGAATAAAACCCGAAACTGTCGCTGCTGACAGGCAAATTTTTTTTTTTGTTTCTGTTTTTTGCTCCTCAATGTGTGAAATCACTGAATCAGCAGGGCGGGTTGGACTGAGAAGGTGCAGCTTAGTTAATAAAAAAATGACAGTTGGCCTGTCATTGCTCCAATCCCTCCCCTCCAACTTCAGTGAACTTCCTGGGGGTTTTTTATACAAAGTATTGCTGAATATCAAGCATTGCATTTATATTCGTGTGTAGTTACCATTTGTTCGACTTGCTACTTGTTTTTCTTACGCAGAAAGATTTTTTTTGAAAAACCCATGAGACATGCTTTAAGCAAACCAGTGCTCAGATTTTTTTTTTTGTATCTTTAATAACATATAGCTCTCCGTATTCCTGCATTACTATACGAGAACATTTGCAAGCACTGATCTACAAAAAAAACAAACAAACCCCAAAACAAAAATCATAAATAGGAGCAAGTTGTTCCAAATCTCTTATTTGAACACTTGCTAAAAAAAAAAAAAAAAAAAAAAAAAACAAACGTGGAATAAAAAGATAGATTAGCTTAATCCGGATCTTTTCTAGCCGTTTTGTCGCAAACCTTTCGACCGTAATCTCCTCCACTAGCTTTGACGCTGATAACATGAAGCTGGACGGGACTTTGACATGTGAACACTGTGGCAGAGCTAAATGTGCACCGCGAAAAACACCAACTCTGAAGTATTGCTGCTCTAGTTTCATGAGCTAATATCTCAGCACACTTGAAATAATACAAAATACATTAATGGCTATTTTGAGTCAACAATTCCTTAAGATTAATAAAAATTGCTCGTTCCAATTGACAGATTATTCCATTTATCACATAGGGGGAATGTTTTAAGTGAAATTATCTGCCACTTTTTCATCAATATCAAGGAATTGTTCATTGCTGAAAAGTTAGTTGTAAGTCAGTTTCGTCTCGTTTCAACTGTACTAAGATATTTGCTGTAGAAAAAATACTTGGTGAGATTGAGTGTTTTTGCAGTGTAAGACACACAGACAGTGGAATGGAAAGAAGCAAACAGGGTAACACACTGCTCTCAGTTCAGGGTAAACACACCTCATTTTCATTTTTAAAAGATAAACTATCATTATGATAAATAAATATTCTATTTAAAATTGATTGATAATATTTCAATATATTGCCGTCATATTCTGATATATTTTTCCCCCCCTTCTCATTAAGATAAAGATATCAATATATGTTTTTGGTTTGTGCTGTCATTCAAAATTATTACAAATAATTATATATACCCGTGGAATGTTTTTTTTTCTTTTTTTGATTCTTCTTCTAAAGATGGATTCCACCTTTAAAAATACATTTTCTAAAGAGCTGGCAGAGAACTAGACAGAGGACGGAGAAGTACTGTGTGTATGACCCAAACGCACACACATGCACGCACACACACCCCCACCTACACACTCACGCGCGCACGCACACATGGACACACACACACACCCTCTGTGATTTCCTCCTGGTACAAATGTTGACACTTGTTGGAATGACTCTGAAAACTAAACATGTATGTGCGCAAGGGTCATCCGCAGCAGCAGCTAAAAGGTGCAGAAATGCAAAAGGCTGGAACGCTGCACAAAGACGAGGAAAAGGCGGACTTTACAGTGGCCGAAATGCAGTGCTCTAAACTGACCCGTTCAAAGTATTTAGGTTCTTTTAAACACAGTGTATGTGGGTAAAACATTTACCCATACATAGGTGCATCTCGGTAAATCAGAAAAATAATCAGAAAATCAAGAATTTGTTGGGTTTTTTGTCCTTCCACTTAACTTTCCAGTGACTGGATCACCCTTGAAGAACCAGTTTCTGCTGGAAACCGTTAAATCAGCTAAATTCCTCATGCCTCAATACATTTCTGTATTGAAAATATGCCTCTTAATTGGTCTTATGTAAAAATTTTAACTTCTGAGAGGCAAAATTATAGGTTTTCATAACTAAAAGAAAAGAAAAATACTTGCTTTTTGTTGCACATTCATATAGACTCACATTTGAAACAGATTTACCAAAACAAAACAAGTTTTTTATGATCGCCGACGTATCGAGACACACCTGTAACTGTGTAAAGACAACATAAGTGCAAAGTGTCAAAAAGCGATCAGGTTCATACTTACATTGTGCCATTAACCCCTTTCTTGGTACAATCTAATGTACCCTTGCAGCATTTCTTGTATTCTATTTTTTATTTATTATTATTACTTCCACAGCATCAGAGAATTCTTGAAGCACTTGCCCCACACACTGCAAAAAGGATATCGTAAAGCGTTACCATAAAAAGGTCGAAGCTGTGAAACGAGAACGTGAAACTTGTTATGGCACCGCACGGTCCGACGTGCTCAAACAGAGGCGAGACGGGAACAGTCACTTTTCTTGGAGAATGTTTGTTTCACAGAGAAATCTTCTGTTCGCTCTTTTGGAAAACGTCGGACCCAAACGCTCGGCTCTCTTCCTCCCTCGGCTTCCCCGCGTTTCCAGTGCTTCAGCAGACTTCTTCAAAAAAAATCTAAACAGTCCGTGATTTTTGTTTCTTTTTATCCCCCTATTTGCACCCATGTAGTTTTGCATCAAAAAATATGTTTTTGTTCATCCTTTTTCCATTTTTTCCCCCTTTCCCTCTCCCTCCCATGGACTTTGTGAGGATCCAGAGCTTGAATCCTGGTGAAGCTACATGTGTTGGGCATCCATGATGTCCAGGTATTTGGCCTCAATGATATGAGGAAGCACGTTGTTCCTGGAAGCAGAACAGACAATTTGGTGTCAGATCTTTTTTTGCTACAGCAGAACGAAGACTCAATGATTCTAAAAACCAGAGTATGGCATAAAGATTATAAAGGAAGAGAGTCGAAAATTGCATTGCTGGTCTTATGTACAAGGTTCCGACATACACCGGAAAAAACCCCAGTAGATTTCTTTTTATTTTCTTGATTTCTAGAAAAAAAAACTAATACTTAAAAAGTCATGTTGTATTGTTTACATTATTTATAATTGAATTACATGTTTCATCTTCAATTTTCCACATTATACTATCATTTTTAAAACCCACCAAAGCTAAAAGTATGTTGTTTTCATAATAAATGACTGAATGCACAAACATACAAAATCAATAAAAGTTCTGCAGTCTTTAAACTGGATCTGAATGACAGGCGTTATGTCATGTTTATTACAGCGTCATGTCAGTCTTATTCACAACCCGTCAAATAAAGTTACACCAATTTTTTTTAATCAGTTTTTTTTAGTCATAATTGTTTGGGCGGCCATAGCATGGAAGAGTTTAGCAACCTTAGTGATACCAAATCTCAAGTCTGTAAAATGACACTAACACACTGAATATTGAAAGCTGGTTTCAGTGTTTTGTTAGCGATTTAGCAAAACTACACACAGGACTGCTATTGAAGGTGTGCAAAGTCAATGTTTCCACTCCAAAAGTCCGAAAAAAATAAATAAAACCCTAGAAATGTTAGCCTGCAAAAGGCTGAATTTTAAAATGAAAAAGCAATCATCAGCGGCTATAAATGTAGACCTAGCTTATGAATTAATGCTGATGACATTTCCACGCAACATCATTTGATCAACACATTAAATGTAGTGATTTAATTGGTAACGAGGCATTTAATCAGAAATGTGTGCTGCATTGTATGCAGTTAGCAGCACTGTGACTAAACATGTTTAACAGATCAGATCACTCAGTAACATTTCATCCTAGCCTGAGGAATCGAAACCCCAGATAACAGATCCTGTCTCTGCAGTGCACACTCTAAGATTTAGATTCCATTTCAAGTGATTGGACAACATTTTTCATGATGAGAAGAAATAAAACTTTCAGAGCAAATGTTTTAAATAATGCACTGTTTACTCCTCTGCTAAAAACTCTCCCAGCAAAGAATAATAATCAATTCTTTGCAAGGGGTTTAAGGGAATATGGAGTTGCTGGGGTGAAAATACATCATCAAATGTTCCAGATATTAGTCTAATTAATTAGGAGGAATCGAAATAAATATTTTTTTCACTAAACTGATACATTTGTTTTCTATTAGTTGATTCCTATTGACACTATTGCACAATTTAATTTTATCTCCATGTTGAAAGATATGCAGCTTTTATTCAATAACGCTCCAGCATCAGCTTTCTTCACTTTTAATACTTTAAGCTACTTAAACTGATCACCAGCTATAACCGATTACCATGGACACGTCAAAAAATTCTGCCGCATAAACATTGTTATGATGAGACACGATGTAGATAACACCTATGCACCAGAGTAAACAAATTAAGAGAACTTGGATGTTGCCACAGCGACTCAATACTGACATAAATTAGTCTCATGATCTGATTGAACAGCCGAACCTGTTTTCATTTGATTTCATCAAATCATTTTCGGGCCTCTCGGTTTATTTAGTTTGATCTGTGCGAACCGTTGCCTGTTCAATAATGAATGCTGCCGTCTGTGGATCGATTTAGAGTTTCACAAATCTGGAACAAACTCCTGGAAAATTGTAAAACAGCCGAAACACTGAGTTACTTTAAAGCTAGACTAAAAACCGAGTCTCTCTAGGGTTTTAGCTAGCTAGACTAGACAGCCCTGTAAACTCTGTTTGTTTGGGGAGCAAAATTGCAACCTTGGTCAAGTTGTTTTTATACCATAAGAAATGAAACTCTAAGCAACATTTTGATGCAAAATGTAATGTTTCCATTGTTGAGTTTTGTGTTTTTATGAAGGCAAATACTTTGAAATGCCTTATTTCTGATATGTGCTGTACAGATAAACTTGGATCGATTGTTTGATAAAATCATAAGACGAATAAAGACAAAGCATAACTAATAGAAATGTTATTTTGTGAAGAATTGATTCCAGCTTCTGTAGAGAAGTCTGTTTGGATGGGGAGTCTGAGATAACAGCGCTGCGACACAAAGTTCTTCCATAATTTCTTTCATAATTGTAATTTCCAGCCATTTTTACATCTGGATTTGCTGCGTCTTGTGATGCATGTCTCTGAGAAGGCGTGACCGTCCTCACACGCAAACCCCTGAATGTCATAATGGAGAAAATGGATTTTCAAGCTTCCCCATACGTACCTGATTGGGATTAGGAGGATCATGACCAGAGGGAAGATCATTTTCATGTACGGTATTGGGTACATGCCGAATGTGCACAGCACCAGCAGCTGCATCATCTGCAGGAAGGTGAAGTAGTGGATCTTCCTCTGGGGCACTTTGCGGATGTAGTGGGTAGGTGGGTATGACGTCTGCGGGGGGCGAGAGGATAAAAGCTGATTAAAATTCAATCTCCCCCTGTGGCTGTGTTTCTCTGCTGTCCTTGGGTCTACTGCAGTCTTAAGGAGATGATTACAGTGGACAGCTTACGCAGCTCTGAGATTTGGACTCTAAAGTTCCAGTTTCGGATGACAACTTCTGTTAGCTTTCAGTAGCGTGAACTGGCCTGAATTATGTTTGCAAACTTGGTTGCTACTATGAAAAATATTGTAAACAGTTTCAATGTCTGGATTTATGGGTTTGCAGGTGATCAGATTGTTTCCATGCCTGACAGCCCTGCAAACTCTGTTTGTGGAGCAAAATTGCAACACTTGTTACATTTTCAGTTGCTGTTTTGTTTTTTTGTTTTTTTGCAATCATCAGCATTACTCAGGTTTTTAAAAATGAAGTTTGAAGAAAAAAGGACATGTGAGACGGAGTTTTTTTTTTCTCAGAGAGAGCAAGAGACTTGATATCAGAAAGGCTGGGTGGAGAACAGCGAAGTCGCTGCGATACATCTTTCTCAGTTTCCAACATCTGCTAGGTAGAAATGTTCTGAATATCTCACAGTTAAAGGAGAGGCTCTTTTAAAGAGATGCTGTCTCATCGCTCAGAAACAGAAATCAGAAAAAGTGAAATTGAGATGGAGTGGTCACAATTTGCGATGGCTACTTCTGGAATTAAAACATCCTGGTGTCTTAAACTATAAAATAAGAACAAGTAATATGGAGAATACACATCTAATGTACAGATTTTTCATTACACACATGATCTTTCCATCAGTAACTGAGTATTTTTAAAATGTAACTTTTACCCTCTGGGTGTTTTTAAGCTCAAGATCTTTTTTCCTGGAGCATGCAGTTCCTGCTGCTACCATTTGGGGTCAGCAGCATGTAAAGCATGGATTGAAAGGGTAAGCCTTGCTTTATCTCCTCACTGTTGAAGAGGCAAGGTTAAACCGGACACTGGGGATAAGAGACACATAAAGGAGATTCCTGCAGGTTTCTTTAGCCAAAACTATTTAGTGGATATCAAATTGATGATTTTCAACTGATTTTGCAGGACAAACAAAAACATTAGTTTGGTTCATTTTAAAATTTTATTTTGTAATTCCTTAAACCAAACCCTCACAAACATCTCAAACAACAAATAAATAAAGATGTTAGTAGATGAGAGGTGACTCTTGTGCTGGGCGTCTAGTCAACTGTTTGATCTGCTGAGTCCCACAGCCAGCATATGGGCACACACACACAAAAACACACACACACACACACACACACATGCATACACATTCTCACCCAGCGCCCTGGCTCACCTGCTCCTTCAGGAGGAGAGCCATGCGGTCACACATCTGGTTCCCGTCGATGGAGGTGAGGGCGATGTAGAGGAAGAGGCCGTACAGGACGGGTTTGGGGATCCACTGCAGCGGAACGGGCAGCAGCAGCAGAGACACGCCGATGAAGATGTTGGCAGCCAGAGACGTCAGCCGGGTCTCCTTCACCTGGACGATGCTGAGGAGGAACAAAACGATACGCACAATGAAAGAACGAAGGGTTTCTGAAAAATCCTCTCTGGCAAAACAACAGAGATTTTGTTTCTGGGGATTTTCCCAATCAGTTTTAGTGCAGGTTTTGCAGCAGCACAATTCAGATTTTCCTAAACATCAGGATTTAATGAGCAGAGAGAGGATATGAATAATGTTCTTTTGTTTGAAAAAGTAGATTTTGTAATGATGTATTACTGACAAAACAGGATCTTATAATTGGTGCAAACCAAGAAGAAGAAAACAACAGGAAGTCGTTGGACGATGATGATGGCGTCACGTGTTTTTTTTTAGTGACTTATTGCATGAATAAACTTATTCACACGTGATTTTGTTTTGCACACATTTGGAATGGAAATTCAGTCATTCCATTTGATTTGATGCAACTCCAGTTTTTAAGGTCACGATTCAAAACCAATTTTTCTATTCAAACGGTCTTGAGATTCTGTTTAAATAAAATGCCTGAAAAAGGAAAAGACTGTGTAACCAAATAGGATATTTATTGAAAGCAATTCTATAAGGTTTCACACTGCATCGAATTTGAATTTAAACAAAAAACAGGTTTATGCACAAAATTCTGTAATTGATTAGCTTAGCTTCCTGGCTTATTCTTAAATAAAAAAATATCAAACAATTATTTGAAATAATAATTAAAAATGGACATGTAATGTGATCCACAGTTAAGTTGCAAATAGGAGCGTACAACTTAAATGTATTTGAAGTTTTTGAGAATTTTGAATCAATTCTCAATTCCCAGGATAAGGAAACATGATAAAATGTTTTTTTGTTTCTCTCACTGGACCAACGTGATCACGTTTCAAAAAGCTGCAACATGCTGTCATTTTCTCTTTTTGTTGCTGTGGAGAACAGTTCTCCTGTTCTCAACGCCATTTCAGTGACGGTGCATTAATGCCACCAAATGAGAAGATCGCAAAACATGTTCTGTAGTTATTCTTGATTTATTTACTTATTGTTTCATCACTTCTACGCAAAATATTTATGTGACTGTGGATTGTTTAACCAAGACAGATTATAAAAAAGGGGGAGAAAAATCAGGAAAGAAGTAAAAGGTATTCTTTTCCAAATTATGTTAAACAATTTTATATTTTTGTCTTTGCTTTTGTTTTCTTTGCTTGTATAATGGGTTATTATGTAGGTCAATGCCTCTGCTTGCTAGTCTGTAATGTTTATTTTCCATGCACTAATTGGTAAATAATGATAAAAAATGAAATGAACATGCTATATCAGATCTGCTGTGTGTTGATTTTTTTTAAATTGAGTTCTTGTTTCCTGTTTTCATCTCTGAGCAGTTCTGCATGGCCCTGAAATTGTAGTACATTTTCTGGAATGTCCGCTTCCAATGTTTCCATCTTGTGGATGATTTTCACTGTGGAATGGTGGATTCAGATAGTTAGGAAGGTCAAGGTCACTGTTGATATTCTTCTCCTTTGGTATTGTGCCAACACTCGCTGTTTGTCTTATTTCAATTTTTGTGTTTTAAACTAAAGAAAAAACGTAAAAGTTTTCCCCAAATGAGGATAGATGCATTTTCTTCTTGGGAAAATAATGAAAGAAGGTAGAAGAAAGTGGATAGTTTTCAACTTAAAGACAAGACAAATCCAGCTAAAAGAATATCACTGGTCCGAGTTATTCTGTTGTGGGAACTCAATACAAACACTCCATGAAAAAACAAAAAGGAAGAACTGCCAAAACAACATGTTGTTACAGCTATATTTGAAAGCATCAGATGGTTCGTTATCATTTTCAACAGAATCATAGTGGAAGATTCAAGAAGACGCAACTATCTTTATCGACTTGGTCACACCCGTGGATCATCATTTGACTGCTACTCTTAAAATTGTAACTTTTATTATAAAAAATATGTTTTCTATGCATTTGAAGATAATCTGTGAAAAGATCAATTTTGTCCACATTCCCCCTGAGCTGCTATTGTCGTCTGAAGAAATGCAACAAAACCAACCACTGAGAGCCAGGAGGAGGGGCTAGGTGCTGTCAACCACTTCATGTACTTGGTGCTAAATGTGCTAATGTCAAAAATCATTTACGTGCCTTCATCAGTGGCCATGCTATCTAGCCTTAGCATTCATGATAGACGATGCTAGTTGCAGGGGAGAAGCAGCGTCACATGGAAGGTGATTGACAGTGCTAAGGCCCGCCTCCTGGCTCTGATTGGTTGTTTCAAGTTAGCAGGGGAGATCAATTTTTCACAGATTATCAGTTTCATCCCACACTTAATGACATGGTGACAGTTTCAATAAATATGTGAGAAACATTTGTTTTAAATAAAAGTTACTTACTGCCACTTTAAATCATGCTAAAAACAATGGTGTCTTTAGCTTTTTCTAACATGTTTTAATTTTTTGTAATTTGACAGATTGTTATTTATCTTAGAACTGAAGGAGATATCATTTCCATCCTCCATAACAGCTTAAATGAACTTTTCTAAACGGACTAGAAGCGACTCAACACGTTCTCATAAATAGGGAAATTGGAGAATTTAAAGTATTCATTTTACACACTGACATGCCATCAAAAATACCAAATTGCATACTTTGTCCACAAAAAAAAACTAAAACCCTTGATTACATCTTCTGTCCTCACACAAGAAGGCTTCATTTATCACACTCTGCTGCTTTATTAATCCTGATATGCAAAGTATAATCTCGCCTGGCTGTGGATGAAATGCTCAACTTAATCCTCTCATCTTTGAGAAACTCCCTCTCAGCTCATCCGTCCTCAAAGGAAAACTGTTAGTTCCATGCTAATCAAGCAATCATGAGAGAGCCTGCGATTAAAAAAGAAAAAAGAAAATCCCTGTCAGCACACGCTCTGAAGATGAACTTCCAACGCCTCCATTTGATCGCAGTCGGTGGCGAGAGGGCGGGCGGACTCACGTCTCGTAGAGGTGCCCCCCCTCCACGCGCTGCTCCACGAAAGCCAGCTGGCGCACGTGGAGGGTGGAGTGGGGGAAGGCAGCGTGCATCCAGGGCAACCCCAGCACCGACATCAGGATGTTAATGAGGCCGGAGAGCATCAGGTCCCAGTGATACGCTGTGCCCTTCAGCAACCTGGGGTTAGGGAGAGAGGCGGCACGTCACATTCAAACAGGAAACACAGGAAGCAGTGAGAACACAGACAAAGAGGATATGTAATTAAAAGCAAAAAAATCAAAAACAAAAAACACACAAGTGGAGCGAGCGCACTCCTCCGTCTCATTCGTCACGCAAGCAAAAATACAAATCCATTATTCATATTCTTTCATACTGTCGCGGAAAGCATCGACATAAATCAATAACGTTGACACGTTATAGGAAAGAGTGGAACATTGTGTGCTCATGTCAGACCTGCAACATTTAAGTAAGTCTGTGTGTTTTGGAGGGTTTCAGGTATAAACAGGCTGAGCTGTATGAGGGAAGCCCTGTGAATGATGAAAGCTGCAGATAACGTCCTATTGACGTGTCCTTCAGTAGGACCCAGTGGATCCAGTGAATGGAGGAGGGCGGGAACTTCAGAGGACAGTGAGGAGTCTCACTTGATGAATGAAAGCTTTATGAACAAAGAGGAAATGAATGTGCACAATTCTGGACCCAATCTTCTCATCGGAACTGGTGAAGTTAATTTTACTGGCATAGACTGGTCTTCCAGTTAAATTCCTTAAACAGTCAATATGGTTGAGATCACGACTGTCCCAAAAGCTGAGAGATTTCTCTAAATGAAATTGGAATAAAAACCTGACCTGGTAGAGGAAAACGGATGTCACTTTTGGATTTGCAAAATAGTGCTAATTCAGTTGGAAAAAAAAAATTGACAACTTCCAAAGCATATTTTTTTGTAACCCAGGGTTATTATTAATGAAATTAATGTGCTACTTATCCACATGATGAGTGTAATGCAAGCTCCCGTAGAGAACTAGAGGTTCTTATGTCAGCGTGTTGGCACACTACCTGTTCTCTGGGGCATTGGTGAGCGAAACAACGATGTTCTGGTCGATGAAAATGAGGAGAGCCAGGAGGAAGCCGAGTCCCATGGCACTGACAACGTTCATGGCCGACAGCCGCTCGAACGGAGCCACGTTGAAGATCGGCCGATTGTGAACCTTAAACACTGGAACTGGACGAAGCGACAACCAGAAGAAGAAGAAAAATGACAGCACATGAGATTGGAAAATGATCCTGCACCCTCATATGAAGCATTATACAAACATCATAAGTATCTCATAAAAAGCTTCCTCAGTTTGCTAATATTGTGGATTTGCTACGTTTTACTGATGTGATAATCCACGTTTTCAATCGTTTTTAATCCTTTGAAGAGTTTCTGGATTTCATTTTTTAAATGCCTCATATCTAATTTGGTGCGCCGCTCCGTCAAATACTGCTGGATTAAATGTAACGGGTTAAATTTAAAAAATGACAAGAGAAATGATTGCTCTATTATGCTATGACTTATTGTCTCTGGAGGTACAGAACAGAAAATTGTCCGGGCACTTAAATTTAAATTCATTCGGGGTTTGGCAGTCATCTCTACTCTGACCCCCAGAGAACAGCTGCTGCCTTGGCAACAATAGAGGCTAAAAATGATGCCAAACAACAGGATAAAAAAAAAGGAAGAAAAAAAAAAAATCTGAAAATGGCCAATGTGTTTCGCCCGGGTGCCTTTATTAAAGAGCATAAAGCGATAATAAGGGCAGCAAATAAAAGGGTTCCGTCGCAAACGAGGCTGTTTCAGATAAAAAAAACAGGTTTTACCTTTTAGCAGCTTTGACTGAACTGGAATAAAAATAAAAATGATCTCCAAACTCATCACAAAACGAGGTCAAAATGTATTCCTTACATGTAGAGTTCATCACAGGATGTCAGACGTATTTTAATAGTACAAGATTTGAAAAACAATTGATGAATAAAATTTAAGAAATTTAAAAAGAAAAATCAACATCTCTGAAGAATGTCAGATATATCTTAAAGGGGCAGTACTATGTGTTTTCCAGGCACACAGCACCATTTTGTAACACAATAAGGTAACTATGTTGCCTGATGTTAAAAAAATATATCAAATATGACCTAAATTAAATTTGTCCTAAATATTTAATGCCTTGAAATTGGGCCTTTGTCTCTATAAAATCTCCTGCTTTTCCAAAACTCCGCTTTTACGAGGTCATCACAACATGGCTCCTCTATGAACCCTTAAATGTGAACTTCTGAGAAGAAGCTCATAGAATGAGCTCAGCTGCTGCTCCATTGCATCAGGTGGTTGCTAATTGCTGCTGGCTAGTCTGAAGGAGCTGAGTGGAGGAGATGCTCTGTGATGTGGAAGCTTGGAAACCACAGTTCTGAGGAGGAGCTATGTCCTCGAAGGCGGGGCTAAGCCCATCCAGGCGCTTTGGACAGCTGAATGGTTGCCACAGAGATTAAAGAATTCCTCAAACATGCATCAGAAAATCAAGGCAACCGTTCATGATTGTTTTTGAAGAAGGAACATCATTATACCATGATTTACAGCTTGAAAAAGTCAATTTTACATAATGCTGCTCCTTTAATAGAAGGTTTGAATAATAATTTATTTATAAAATAGAAGAAATTAAAAAGAAAAGGGTAAAATAAGCAAAAACTGAACATAAAATCCTTCATAAACTGCAGCAATTCCAGGTTTGTTAGTCAGTAGAAGTAATGATAGTCTTCCTGTTGCGGTGGATGAAGAACCGCATCGTCTATTAGTCATAAATCGTAGGGATGACGGATGACAGTGTGGATGGTAAAGACCCTCACTACACCTGTCGGAACATCCTCGACAAAGATGATGAACTCTGCTCAACGGAGGTCAACACCTTGGAAAGAGCTTTTACTAGTAACAGCATATCGATGTGTGTAACGGGGTGTGTGTGTCGCATATTGGCAACACACTTTCAACGACGAAAACGTCTCGCTCCAGCCGGCGTTCTGGCATCTACTGCAGATTCCACAGGATTTGCACTTGTCAGGGTAGGTAGCAGCCAGGTGTTGCCAATTAAAGCTCTTGATTAAGTGAACTCAGCAGGTGGGAGCTCCTCTGTACAAGCAGCAGATTTGGCAGTTTGCTGGTCTTGAGGAGAGGAACTTTTTTTATGGTAAGAAACACTGTGGGGAGGCCATTAAAACAGAATCTTGACGTATCGGTCGAATAATGATGATTGGCACAGGTGCATGTTTCTATTTGCTTCCTGTTCTTTAGCTGGTAGTTTCCTGAGAAACAGATGACATGGGGAAATACGGTCAATGGCGCCTTCTTCTCGCCTCGTACTCTGACTTGTTTTGGACAAGGAGCCCCAAAACAAAGCAACTTTTTCAACTTTCCAAACAGCTTTTCTGATATATGTTCAGAGCGAAAGAGATAACTCATCTTTTATCCACGTGAATTACTTGGAAGGCAAATGTACAATCAAAGAACTGATTACCTACAAGAAAGAAATTGTTTACTTTTTGTACTTGAAATGTTTAAGGTCCTCTGCAGCACTTCTGGTGGAAGGCCTGAGGAACCATGATAACGATACTGCTGTTGATAAGGGAGCGTTTAGGTACTTACTGGAGTAAAAAAAAAAAAAAAGGATTATTTCCTGCCAGACCACAGAGATCAGAAATCTATAGACCTACCAGCTAAGGTCAGTGGACACAGTGCATTGATTTTCTGTTGGCAGTGATGAAGTGACAGGTGGGATTAGGTTATCTAACGTAAAGGAATACCTTCCTCCACTGCAGGTGTGCTCACATTGAATCACTCATCAATCAAACACTAAGCTCTAACTGCACATTTAAATCTGGGTTTCTGCAGTTTTAACCAATTCAGATTTAAGACTTTTGAAGGTGAAATTTAAGACCCGCCTCATGTCAGAAATGTACAAAACAAACAGCATTAACCACCGTAGTCCCCCGTTATATTGCACAGAAATTAAGGTAGCATCATACAGGTTTGCAACAGAAGAGATCCAATGACCAATACGATAAATTTGCACTTACACCATAATAGATGCAAAAAAAAAAAAAAAAAAAAAAAATTCAAGCTTGCTAGCTCGCTCACATTTTTATTTATTTTTTTGCTAATGAGCTTGTTTTTATTGTTCCTCCATTTCCCCTGCAGGAACCAGAACCGATGCGTCCTGCATATATAGGCCTTTGCCAGCTAACAAGGGTACATTAGTAGCTAGTTACCAGTAGCCTTAACTCCCTCATATAACGCAATGATGAAGCGTCTCAAAGGCAACTCAGATATTTGCCCGACACAAAAATCCCACAAGAAAAAAAACTACAATGGCTATACAAGATTAAATTGACCTGCCACAAAATGTATGACTTCTGAAGAAAATATTTAAGGTAATTTTCTATATTTTTGTGTGAAATTAAGACCTTTTAAAACCTTAATTTTAGATACATTAATTTAAAACTTTTTGGGGACACATAGGCACTCTGTAAATACCTTATAATCTAAACTTTGATCATTTATATCTTTCTGGGTGTCTTTCCGATTTTCTGAATCCAGAAAAACCGAGAACTATTTCTGCTTTACTGAAAACTACAAACCACCTGTGGCTGTTTTATGTTCACGTTGCACAAGTTTACCCAACAGGCCAAAGCTTCATCCAGCAAAGCAAGAGGTAGGTAAAATAATACTAACGCTCAATATCGCTAAAAATGTAGGAGCCGATGAAGGAGAACAGCAGCACTGAGATGGGCAGGGCGCAGTCCGACAGCACTTCCCTCACTTTGGCATGCAGGAACGGACTGGGACACAGAGACAGAGAGAGAAAGGACAGTGGAGTGAGCAAGGAGAGACAAATAATGAAGGAATACAATTACTGTAGACAAGACAAGGACAATGGCTGCAATCCTGACACCGCTTAAGTACCTTACTCCGCCTCTTGCTTACACAATTGAATCCAGCTTTGAGGTTGATTTGATTACAGAGAGCAATCAGTAGTAGAAGATTAATGCTTATTAAATCACTGGCTGGAACTGAAGCTCTGACAGAAAAGTGAGTTTAGCAAGTTCTGTCTAGAAAGTTACAATCCTTAGCGGCGAGGTCCTGCTCTGCAGCATCCATCCCAGCAAGGCAGCGCTCCCAGCCAAACGTGATTTAAAGTTCTCCAGTGATTAATCTTTCAGGTGCCTCGGAATAGTAATGCAGAATGTACCTTCTTTTGAACTGGTAGAGGGTATAGCCCATCCATAATGTCCCGAGCATCAGCAGGAGGCAAAGGACGGGCCTCTCTCGAGTGCACTGGATGAAAGATTCAGGCAGAGCATTGAACACCGACCCGACCATCACCTCACTCCTGTTTCCTCCCTGCAGGTCTCCAACCTGAGGAAGGTCCTCTATGCTCCGGTTTTCCAGACCTGGAGCGTGGTAGTACCTCTGAAAGACTGAAACCAGAATCACAGTGGTCAAAACTAACAAAAAATAAAACCCACATTTCTGTAAGTTCTTTTTTTTTATTCTTAGGTAAATTGAAAAGCATTCAAACTCCGTTGGACCCTTTCCAACTTTATTATTGTACAACCAAAAGCTTCAGTTTACTTTATTGTCTTTTTGTGTGACAGATTAGATGGTAAGCTTTGAACATTTGAAATCCAAAATCTTTGTCAGCTCTGCCTAACTTCGTTATCACTCCACTGCGTTTTCCTGCCACAACAATTTCACCAAAGTGATGGTGAGTTCAGGGTCTGTTTCTAGTGAAGACGTCGTCCAGCCAACTGCCAAGAAATTCACACCGACTCCTACTACATGCAGCAAGCTAGCAATTAAGGATATATATCATCAGCTTGTTACCGGGAGCCTCAACCACATCAAGTCACAGAAAGAAAGATGCCAACATGTGAGTCAAATGTTTGGCTGACAGAAAAGTCACATGAAAAAAACAAAACAAAAACAAAAATAGCCAAGTAATACTCAACAATTTGTAAAGATCCATTTGCAGATGGCTAAAACAAAGAACAATGTCACTAGGAAAAAGGACTGGACAGGTTTTAATTAAAATGACTAATTGATTAGCTGGAGAGATCTTGGCACTCTCGGTCAGCGAAGGATTCATCAGGCATAATTAGCAAGTCGCTCAAGCAAATAACATTATTAAAAAGACACCGGTAACACAGTATGCAGAATATGTCGCAATTATCTTTTTGCGACCATTTGTGTTAGAAAACTTTTGCCTACTTTAAATTGAAAATTTGCTGGTGATAACAGTAAAAGCTGAGATGGGTGCAACGTCTTAATTATCAGTCAAAATATGGGAGCATTATAAGCAGTTACAGATTGCAGTGTTGTAGAAAAAAAAGAGTGACTGCTTGTGTTACTTACTTTTGACTGTTCCTTTGACAGCATCAACTACAAATGCAATGGAAATGAACAGGGCAATGACCTCTTCTGTTGACCTGAAGATAATAAAATGATAAAACACAGAAAAAAGTAGCATTTTTGTCATTCCATTTCAAACAAGGAAGTTCAACTTCATAAAATAATCTTTTAATGAACTTTTATTGCAGTGTTGTTGGAGTAGTTTGTTGTCATTAAATCATAAAAGCTCTAGATCTACCCATTGCCATTCTGCCTTTCATTTTATGTCATTCATGTAAAACTATTTTGTGCCTAAGGTCATAAAACATGGCACATTATTGTTGCTCTACTTGATATGATTTTCTAGTTACATCTTTGGTTTGAAATTATGACTGCATCTAGAATCAAAGCAGACAAACCACATCAGTGAAATAGGAATCTGTGTTTGTATGACCTTCAGTTATTTGAATTACTGTATTTCTATGTCAGTGTTGGGTGGGTGGATGTGTGTGCAGAGTGGTTGCCTATGTGTGGAGTAGTTGTGAGTGAGAATTTGTCACCTAAAGGTGTGACGCTGGTAGAACAGTGGGATGAGGAGAAACTTCACAACTAACTCTGGTCAAGAGAGGCAGAGGATACATAGCCTCAGACCCTGAAGACATATATCACAGACTCCACCTTACCTGGTACTGCTACCGTGTCAAGAAGAGATTCTCAGGCTCCCACACAAGACACAAAGTGTTCCCAGTGATGAAGAGGAAAATCCACCAGGTATGTATCAAGACATCCCTCACCACAGCCTAGTTCAGACTCCACAAGCCACAATCACCCCGACACATCCCTGAGGGTTGTGGGCTTCATTACAACTCAAATCCAATTGACAAGTTCCAATCACCTCGATTACCAGACCAACCTCTAAGCCTGAGACACCCTCACCCCTGCCACCAAGAGATAGCTTGGTAAAAACCAGACATTAGTCCTTCTCACAGGAGGTCTGGGCATTCGACAATTGAAAAACGATTGGAAACCAGCTGCAGGCTAGCTGGAGGCTAGCAATCATTTCTGGAGGCTAGCAATTGTTTCTCAGTAGTCTTGCTCGCCTCCAACTGATTGAATAAAGTTTTAATCTTTACCCAACTACTAATGTTTCCCCACAATGTATATATTGTACTAGTTTGGTGCTATGAAGCTTACCAGAAATTGTCTGTGCTATAAACAACCGTCCTCCACTGTGAAGAGAGAAGTGTTGATCTGAACAAGGCAGATGTCGATATTACCGGTTACTCAATATTTAGAAGCATGGCCAACACGGTCTGAATGGTTTTATTTACTTCCTATTCTGCCATTTCTCGGCAGACTACAATTCGCAAAAAATTGATTTTATTGCTCACAACTTCTTCCTCTGTCCGCCTGTTAGAAATTCTACGAGTGATCCAAGTGAAGGGGAGACCCCAAGCTGCCCAGGGCCCTCCTTCAGCAGAAGGATACAAGAACCAGAACTTCTCAGTCTCTTCCATTCGCTTTGCCACTGACGGGTCTGAAAACTTTGTGTTGTACTTTGTTTCCATATATTTTGAGCTTAAAGTAAAAGTATGAAAAATCCAGTAATAACCAAGTGACCTCCTGCTGAAAGATATTGTTCAGTAGCGTACGATAATTATATTTTCTAACAAGAATCTTCCTGCAGGGTGTGAATGGCGCAAAACAGCATATGTGACTTTTTTATTGTCAAATCACAGAGGCAGCAGCCAAAGCATAGAGAGCCAGAATTCCCTCTTCCCATCCACTTGGTTCAGCTCCTATGGGGGAATCCCAAGGCATTTCCAGGCCAGCTGAAAAACACAGTCCCTCCAGCATGTCCTGGGTTTTCCTCTGGGTGTCCTCCCAGTGGGATGTGCCAAGAACACCTCACCAGGAAGAGCTCGACCCCTGAATTCCAGGGCCGGGAGTCGAACCCACAACATCTGTGTTGAGGCCTGAAGCCTCCAGAGGTGGGGCGTGCTAATTTCTCACATCTGAGAAATTCTAACAGAAACACTAGAATTTGCATTTCTTTTACTCACAAATAGGAACTTATGACCCATTCGTGGTCACAGCAAGATTGGCTCATTAGCATTTTTTGCGAAATGCTAATAGGTCTTTGAATTTGTAAAACCTAATGCTGACAAAAAAGAACAAAAAACCCCAACAAAACAAGAACAAGCTAGTTAGCAAGATCTGCCACGCTGTTGGCTTTGAATATTACAGATTTTGTCAGCAACAGTTGGAGGTCAGAGTTGGAACCATTTGACCCATTAGGAAAAAGGTCCCAATAAACCGAGATAAATGTAAACTCAAATATAAGTGGTACCTTTTAAAGAGCTTCATCAGCAGACTAACGTTGAAGATCCCTCCCAAGATGAGGAAGAGGCAGTTCCACAAACCGATGCAGGCATAGAAAGCTGGGAAATCCAAGTTGTAGTCATCACAGATTCCTCGGATCACTACAATCCACAAGACAAAAAAACATATATACATGTCGATAAATATAAAACATCTGAATAACACAATGGGAAATCTTTATGAGGGCAGTATTATGTGTTGTCCAGCCATTTTAGAGCGCAATCAAAAAACTGTGTTAACTTCAATTGTCATAAAAATGCTGAATATATCAAATATGACATAAAAGAAATTTTGCTTCGCAATTGAAATTGGGTTTCTGTTTCTTCAAAAACTCCTGCTCTTTCTTGAATTTGTAAAACATCATCACTACAAGGCTCCTCTATTAACCCCTTAAGAACATTTTTAGCAGTGTAACATTGAGTAGTAGCAGGGGAGGGCTGATCTGTGAGGCAGAGGCTTGGAAACCGCAGCTCAGAGGAGGAGCTTTGTCTCGAAGGCGGGGCTAGGTGCAGCCAGGCATTTTGAATGGTTGAATGATCACCATGGAGAGTCAAGGATTTCTCAAACATGCATTAAAGAATCCAAGAAACAGTCGAGGTATGTTTATTAAGAGGGGATACCATTATAACATAATATGAGATGCTTACAGTACCTTGCAAAAGTATTAATACTTCTTGAACAGTTTTACATTTTTTCATATTTCAAATATAAACTTTGTTTTGTTGTACAAAGTCCTGTTGAACAGTAAAGATGGTCTTGTGTCCAAACACGTCAAGTGCAAAACTTCACGCAAGACTCCATTAGCCTTTCTCTAAATGATGCCGCTTCTTCTCAATTTTCTACTCCGAAACTCAGATTTGTAAACGGCATGCATACAAGGCTATAAGTAATCAGATCAAACCTTTCGGTCAGACTAAACTAAAAGCACGACACGTCGACGCCCCGATCGGAATATTCGGATCGGATTCGGCTCCATCGGAATGAATTGGTAATCGCGTCAGCCCGTCATTTCCCAAAACCACTGCAGGAAAAAAAAAGGGATAAAAGAGTCATAAAAGCGCACACGGGGTCAGTCCGATAGCTCAGAGACAGCGGGAGGCGTAATTGCAGTAATTCCTCGAGCTTTATTAGAACCTGGCGCTGGTCTGTTCTGGAACCAACACACTACTGTTTGTTTGGTTTTACGTTCGGCAAAAACTGAGGAACAGCTTCTTCTTCTGTGCTTTTTTTTTTTTAAGGGAAACTTTACAACTTTGCGCAAGTCAGTACTTCTATTCTGAACAAAACTTGGTGCACAATCATATTAAATTATTCAGTATCCATATAAACCAGACATTCAGATTATTTAATCCTATCAGATAAAGTATTTAATATTTCCTAAGTATTTTTTTCTCATTAATGTTCTGCTTGTTTGTTTTGGTGGACGGCCTTGTCTCTGCCGCACTCTGTTGATCTTCAGACGATGCACCGAACAAAGATCCCCAGCATGTCCCGAGTCGAGTGACATCATAATTGCACCTTGCCTTAAACTTCTGCCCAGCTTTCTGCCTGAGCTGTCTGCGGTGTTCCTTGGTCTTCATTATGTTGTTTGTTTTCTAATGTTCTCTAACAAACCTCTGAGGCCTTCGCAGCGCAGCTGGCTCCATACCGAGAATAAATGAAAAACAAGTGAACTCAATTTACTAATTAGGTGACTTCTAAAGAGAAAATGAAAAAAACAAAAGAGAGAGAGAGAGAAAGAGAGAGACAAGGGGGCGAAGTACAAATGTACAAAGCACTTTTCAGATTTTTACTTGTAGAAAATTTGCAGATATTTCTTCTACTTTGGTTGTTTGATGTTGAATCTCAGTTAAAAATGTTCAAATTTGTAGCATGACAAAATGTGCAAAATGCAGAGTGTATATTTTTGCAAGGCACCGTATGGAGCGATATGCAAAACAGTTTTTTGGGGGATTTTTTTTTTGTCTCCCTTAATAAAACAACTTCATTTAAAAACTGCATTTTTAAATACCTATGTTGTTTTGGACTAATATTTAAATTGGTTTAACGTTCTCAAAAGCCTTTGCATAAGTGAGGCAAACATGCCAAGAAAAAAAAAAGGAGCAAACTCTTTTTTCAATTCAAAAACAATTTGAAAGAAAGAAAAACAAAACATTCAATTGGTTAAAGGTGATTCCATCTCAAAGATTTTGTCAGACTCCAATAATGAAGCATATATTACAGAAGCTCTCCGTGGCTTCAATGATTTCAAACATGGACGCACAAAGAGTTAAAGAGAAACATGCATTTTAATTTAACTTGAAAAGGGAAAAAAAAAGAACTGTAATTAGTTTGTTAAAAACCATAATAATTTAGCTGTTGTCTTGAGTCACAACTTTACAAACAAGCCTTTGTTCCGTTCAGAAAGCTGCTGCAAATATACAACAATTATCCCCATGAGAATGTTCCCTGCACAGTTCCAACCCATTTACTTCAAAGATCATCCCACCGCAAACCCGCCAAACAGCTTCGGTATTAAAACTACATCTTGGCATCAAAGTTGCTGCTTTTCTTCATCTCTGCTCTCTTTCAGAGTTTCCACCATTCAAGTTCATTTACATTCCTCCCAACAAAACAATGCTGTTGGGCGAAAAACCGTCCAGCGGTTTATGTGCTGCATTTTGTCTGAACTGAATAAAAGCTTTACTTGTTCCTTTTTTTCAGGACCTGCAGGCACCTGAAACTAGCTGTTACGTAACATGGGCAAGAAAAAAAAAATACACATATTCTGGTTCATCTGTCCCCTCTCTGCGGCGACTATTGGACGTTTGGACTTTTTTTTTTTCTGGGAGAAATATATTCTAAATATTTCTTTTGACATCAAATTAAAACCAGATGTGAGCAACAAGCCCCAGTAATCCATACATACAAAACAAATTAGTCCAGAGATGGAATTAAAAAACATTGGAAGGACAAATGGAATAAGTATTAAACGCTTGAAGAAACGGCTGTGCAAAATGACACAGAAAACCAAGAAGTCAGCTGAAATCGGTCAGTGGTTATGTGGACATGCTGCTATGCACAGGTGTTTTCTGCTTCTTCTTTGTCTCCAAAACTGTCTTGTTTTTTTTTCTTTGAATAATCAGCAGACTTTTCGGCTTTTTAAGTTGAAATTATGACTAATGCTGACTGAAAAAATAAAGAATTTTAAAAAATTGCATTCCCTACCAAAGGCATCCTGAAGTTGGCATTACAGAAAAGTGTCCGCTGAAGTTCTTTTCCCCCATGACTTTATTTCCAGACTTCATAGTGACTGTGGATTTCTTGGGTTGTCAAAATCTGATATGAAAGTCATGTAAATAATAATGTAGGGATTTTATATTTGAAGCAAACTGAAAACTTATTTTACAACCTGTCAGCTTCAAACTCAACACCCATAGTTTGAACATTGTTTTTCTGATTCTTTAGTTAAAGAGGAGATGAGTATGGTAGACTTTTTTTTATTTTTTATTTTTATCTCCGCCATTAGTTTTCTTCCACTTTTGATGCCATCTTCTTAGCGTTTTGCCCACCGACTAAGACTCGTCTGCTGTGTAAAAACGACTGCCTTGCTTTTGAGGCGCGCTAATGAAACTCTAGGAGAGCTTACCGCTGATGAAGATGGCGAGGGGAGCAGTGGTGAGAGGGATAACTAAAGGGGAGCCAGCAAACAACGAGTAGATGACTCCACCGATGCTCTGGCCAATGATAGTCTTCCGAACATCTGGGCAGAGAAGACACACACACACACGCACACACACACACACACACACACAGAGAATACACAGAAAAGGTTCTGATGAATAAAAATGAATGCCCTTAAGGTTCTGCTGCACAGCTTAGCAGAAGCAGAAGGAAACTCATAATTCACTTTCTGCACCAGAAATGTTATTAGACGAATTATCTGTTATTTTTACCCACAAATTTACTTGATATACTTGCTGCATGTTCTTCCCGCTACAATTAAAAAAAGAAAAAAAAAAGAAACTCTTTAAAAAAACCACACAGTTCAACTTTAGGGGGATGAGTAATGCAGACTTTAAGTTTCTACGTCAACCAACAATACATTCTCAACCAACAAAATAATGAAATGTGAAAAATACGAAGTAAAAAGCAAAACAATAAAAAAAAACATTTCATTGACAGCACTTAAAAACACTACATACTGCAAGTTATAAGCAAGTTATTTTACTTCATAAAACTCTTTGGCCTCTTTAGTTTCTGTTTCTGCTCCTGTATGAATCAATCAACAAATCAATCTTTTTTTGTATAGCACATTTCAGCAGCAAGGCATTTCAAAGAACTTTACATCTGCTTTACTGTACAACATATTTCACTACTGGAGTTATGAACCAGGTGTTAAAATATGGTTTAAAGTTAATATTTGGCTGGTGTAGAATCTATAATATCAAAACAAACAAAAAAAAAAACAAGTAAAACTCTTTTTCTAAAAGTCTTAAATTATTAGATGTGGCTCCAGAATGAAGCTTCCCATTTGAGAATTTTGATTTGGGAAAAATGACAAACCAAAAAAAAAAAATTAAAAAGAAAGAAAAAAGCCATTTCTGTCAGAAACGAACTCTGATCAACTATTGGTATTGGACAAATCATATATACGGCAGGGATGCAACTACTAATCCATGCATCAATCTTTGGTATGTGGTATTACTTTTATTTTTGCTTACCTTTAACTTTACATCTACCTCAGAGACTTTTTTTAATTGCAAAATTTAAAATAAAAAAAATGGATATGTCAAAGCTTTACTCTATTTGTGAATCCAAAAATATTTGAAAGATATTTTTTGTCATTGAAAGTCTTAGATCAATGCGGACTTGTTTATACACCAAATAAATGTTGGCTGTGTTATAACCAGCATGCCCTGCTACTCCTCTGTGGGAGCTTTACTTTGTTGACCCATGTTTGATAGAACATAAGACTGTCTACATGCCGGCTGCGCGCTCCTATACCGATTTCGCCACGGGTGCTCTCGTCGTTGAGGGAGCCGAAAGCGATGGCGGGGAGGAGGATGGCGATGTAGAGGAAGATGGCTGTGGTCATGTACTTCAGCAGGGTTTTATTACTTCCAACTATACCTGAAGGGAGACAAACACAAACACATGAGTCATATGCATCTCATAATGAAGCGGAGGAGGCTCAGCACTTTAATTTAAAAACGACAGAAACGCTAGCAGAATCCATCGTTTAGTTCCCCGGCAATAAGGAACCTCCAGAGAGTGTGTGTGTGTGTATGAGTGTGTCAGGATATTCTATTGTGGGTTAGACAACCGGCTACCCCTTAGAAAACAGGAGTGATATGTTTTGCGTTTGTGTAATCCATCTCGTTTTAGGAGCGGTCATTTGAATGATGGATAACTCATGTTGGAATCAAACATTTTAATTGGCCTCTAATGTGATCACTGGTTTCCGTGACCTTCGCAGGATGAACATTTGATCAAACTCACATGTCAGGAACGGGTTGATTTCTGTTGCAGCGTAAATAAAACAGAAATGCGTAGAGAGAGGAAAGGGCTGAGCTGCTTGTTGTGACTAACACATTATTTAGCGTGTGTGTGTGTGTGTGTGTGTGTGTGTGTGTGTGTGTGTGTGTGTGTGTGTGTGTGTGTGTGTGTGTGTGTGTGTGCGCGCGACCTGGACCGGAGCCGCTTTCACACACTCTGGAGTCTGAGTTGATGACTCAGTGAAAGTACCTGCCTTCAGCGACTGCATCAGTAAGGTATAGGGAGATACTTGTGGTTGATGACCTGGGATATTATAATAATGTCAAACATAAGGAGGCATGTGGGAGACTTTAGAGTTATTTTTACAAGATGCAAAACCCTGGATGAAACCCAAGGATAGCAAAGACGTACCTAAAAAAAAAAAAAAAAAAAAAGCACATATATTAGAGCGAAGATTTTCAAATAGACACCACAGATTACTGTAGTGTTTATCTTATGTATATTTAACTATGTATATATATATATCTATATATATATATAATTCTGATAGTGTAGCAGATAATTGGATGTTTCAGCAAAAGTCTTTCACATGTGGATCCTAATTTGGCACAGATGTTCCCTTTTTTGAAAAGAAATAAAATTTCATTTATTGTGGCACTAAAACTGTCAATATTGATCACTGACTAATACTTTTTGTATGAGCTAATGCATAATTGGACCCAGAAAAAACATTTTAATTATTGATAATTTTTTGCTGATTAACTTATGTTTTGTTGAAGGACAACATGAATGTGGGTGGAGTCAAACCATGCCTAAAAGAACTCTAAATTTTTTTCCCCAAAATCCTGTTTCGGTCACAAATGATTTCAGCCATTATTTTAGGAAGGAGGAAATATGTTTTCTTGATCTTTTTTCCTTTTTCTGGTGGCCATTTTTCAAAATGGCAGCCGTGGTTGTGATGAAGCATATACATTTGCACTATAATTGCCAGTCTATCTTACTAGTGGTGGGCATGCTAAACTGTTAAACATATCAAAAATTTTGCAGAAGCTAATGCTAACCATGACGAGCATTATTGCTCAGCCTGTAAAATGCTACATATTATAACTTTAAAGTTGTATGGCTATGAAGTGAGATAGAGTTCCACCAAGATGTGAAAATAAGTAACATTCAGCTTGAAAAGGCTCACAAACAGCAGCCATTTTGAAAAATAGGTGTCACCCTGAAATTTAAGTACTAATGTGAAAAACACAGCCTGAGGGTTGAACATGTAAATGTAACACAGTTGGTCTAAACATTCATGGGAATCAAACTTCCCATTGGCCAGGCAGACTACCCCACCTACCCAATCTCTATTTCCCAAAAGGCTATCCCCACTTTATGTGGGTTACATAAACTTTTATGCTTGTTTCCACATTTGACAGATTTGTATAATAATTCGCCGCATTATAAAGATGCATGAAAAACCTAAAACCCCAAGATGTACCAAACATGTAAAACATTACAATAGTCTCTTCCAGTGAGGCAAAGCTTGAAAGATAAATGAGGCGCTGCCAGCGGCACCCCGGTGGGGCATAGCAGCACAAATGACTCACTTTCACTACAAGTCCAGGTCCAGCTTACCATCTGTGAAGTCAGAAGGGTAGAAAGGCAGTCTGCGACGCAGGTCCTCATAAATCCCTCGGCCGGCTTTGAAGAAATCTTTACACTGTGGAAAGAAAGGAAAAGGTTAGGTTTTCCTCAAGGAAACGTCTGTCACTGAGGAAAAGCCAGGACTGCGTCTTCAATGTTAATGTGGAAAACAGTAATGCAAGTCACAGTGCCTCGCGTGCATCACTCACCTTGGAGCTCTTCGCGTTTTATTATGCTATAACTACAAACATGCTTGTGTTTTATAGGAATTGATGTTGCAGGTCAGCACGGTAATTCATCATTGCTAAGAAAAAGTACAAATACAAGCTTTCCAGCAGATTAAAATTTTGAGCATTTCTGTTAAGTCCACTTTCTACCCCCAAATAAATTCCAGTGCAAACAAACGCCTATGGAAGTTACGTAATCAAGTCTGAGGGTGTGTTTATGCAGGGCCATTCTGTGAAGACCTCTGAGGTTTGAAAGAGAACATCAGAGAACGAAGAGCAGCACAGAGACCGAGGAATGTAGCATACAGGAATACAGATGTGACACTGTTATTGAAGGGCTACGTTAGAAAATAATGTCCTGAGCTTAGAACGTCTCAAGGAACCCTGTGAAATCTATCATACATATACAAAGACTATGTCACTACTACAAACCTACAAATACTTTCTGAAGGCCATCTTGCTTGTTGGACAATAACAATAGCTACTGCTAACGATTTCTTAAAAAATATGTCAGATCCACTGAACTCACATCCCAGTTATAAATGGTTGGTGGCATGGTTAGCTAGCATGGTTGGTTGGTTGGTTAACTAGCAACAACCTGTCGAGTAGCAGTTTCATGTTGTCCCCCAACATACTCAGGTGTACTTCATTCCTTGTAGGCCCACATGTACGTATGACAAGGATTTGAGGACATCTGCATTGATGCAGATGTCTGTTGGACACATCCGGACAAAGCTCCGTTTTTATGACGCGTCCTTGCTGACACACAGATTCACGGTAAACTGCTAGACAGGGAACAGTGTTCACATTGAACTATTGTGTTTGTGCAACAGTTCAACCAGTCGGGAAACCAGTCGCCTAGCATGACTGCCTGCCTCCATGTGCGGCACTGACTGACTATGGTGGAGAAAAAAAATTGAGCTAGGCATCAAACTGGCTCATTAAACTAGCTAGCGTTTATTCAGATTGTGGAAAATGAAGGAATATGTCACTAGGAATGTAGGGAATCTGTAGACTTGACTATGGTCCATGGACAGAATATGTGCAGTACGTGAGACTATTTGGAAGGAGTTTAAGGTCAAAAGAACAGCGTGGAGTGAAAAGAGGAAATGAGTTCAGCAACTCCAGATGAAATTGCAGATAAAAAAGGAAAGATCAAGTCACTAGTTTGGCCGGATTTTAGATACTTAAAACACAAAAACGAATCAATAAGAAAGAGGTGGGTTTCATACAACTGGTTTGAAAACATGAGGTATTTTCCTTTTGCTTCACATTTGTGGTGAATAACTGTGAGGTAAAAGGTTGTAGTTAAAATTTGTCAAGTAAAATTGCAATAATATAAACTGGTGTGATCTAAAAATATAATTATGCTCCAATATTAGCTTCCTTTAAGCATGTACTATGTGGTTTGGTTGCTCATACGTCGTAATTCATTTCAAGGCATTTCTTAACTAAGTTATTTGAAATCTCAAGATATCTTTAAGACATTTAGTGTCAGCTAAAATTACAGGAACTTTAAATGTTTTCAAAGAGCAGTTATTAAAAAAAAAAAAAAACTCAAACACTGTGATAAAATGTGTCTCATGAGGAGAGCCCCAGGAGACAAAGTTTCTTCTACTGCAGAGGAGTAGTTCATTAGAGTTACAAGCCTCAGAAATGACCAATTAACAGCACCTCAGATTAGAGCCTTTAGGTATTTGACATGTCATATCATTAGCTCCAAGAAAACTCTTATTAATTAAGTCTATATGGTGGGGGGAAAAAAAGCAAAGAGGGAGACTTGGAAGAAAACTAAAAAGTTCTGGTGTTTTTTTTTTTCTTTTTTGCTAAATGGAGGGTATCTAGATGTTGTTAACCAGCATAGAGCTTTAACAAGGCAGTGATGTAAACATGTTCATTTGTTCACATGCGTTTGACTGTGTGTGTTGGACTTCATGTGTGTATTCAGCTCACCTTCTCCAAGTATGTTGGTAACATTTAAAACCAACCATAAAATTAAGTGCATTTTGTTGAACATTTCATCAAGTCGTTTAAAAGTGCGTGCCACTTTTGTGTCCCCCTCTTTTTCTAAGCAATGCAAGCGTTTTGGAATGATGGGAGTCAAATTCAGATTGTTTTATTGCCTCAAGATGGGCTGTGTTAGATTTCAGTGTCTTTGTTCATTTATTTTTCTCCCCCTAAACTTCATGATTTGAACTTTGGGAAAGTTCAGATGTCCCTCAAATCATCTAAAGCTGGGAAATTTGACATTTCAAAAATGAATTTGCTTAACCTAAACACTCATGTTAAAAAAGAAATTCTTGTTTTTCAACAACAAAAAAAAAGGTTTGGCGCTAGGATGACGTAGGTTTTTTGCCGTGTTGAAATTAGTTTGGTTTTCAAAACTGAAATGGAAATACATTTTTGACCTCACACAAGTCACTAGAGCAACAACCCGATCTTGCCACAGGCAAAAACCACAAAGACGACGACAGCAAGCAGCTGAAGGGTCATGACACATTATATCTTTTAATAACTTATTCATGTGTCATTTTAATTGTTTATTTAATTAAAACTGTGTTTTTTGACATTAAGGTAACACTGACAAAGTTAAGTGCAGATTAATGGGAACATGACTTATGTCTGCCCTGAAAGGGTCAAATAATGAATAACCAAATTTACATAAAGTTGCCATCACTTGTTGCTGCTCCAGGCATTCAGCATGCTGAGGTGAGTGAATCTTTGTCAGGATATAGAGAGTCTGCTACATTTAAATATTTTTTTAGCAAGTTATATTATTGATATGACTTAGATGTGCATGAAACTGAAAGGTAGTACTTTAGTATATCAGATGTACAAATTAATATTAAACTCACAGATGAAAACTTATATTCATCTGTAATATAATATTATATAGTTGGACTAGGACTTTATGTCTGCTGCTTGTTTTGGGGGGTTTGTATTTCAAAAGACAGAAAAGAAGATAAATACAGTTCTTTTCCCCTCAATGTTTTGTTGAATGTTGCAGTTTAATAGCGCATTCAGTGGTTCAATAGACATTGAAAATCACAAATTCAACCAATAAGGCTGCTGTTTGTTTCAGAAGTTGTGAAAGCTACAAAATATTTGACTATCTGACTGACTACATCTCATTAAATCTTTCAGGCACCACACTGTACTACCTTTGTCTGTGAATATGATCCCAGACTATTTTAGAGATTGCTGTTTTCAGCCCATCCTGCGTTCACGCCTCACAGTCAAATGGTAACGCAGCAGAAGCCCATTGTCTTCCAATGCACAGGTTTTCAGCCCAATCTCTATGAAAATCAATAGAACGTGACTCTCCCATGCGACACTGCGAGAAAACTTCACAGACCCAAGAATGATGAAAACAACTGGAAGGATGTCAAGATGACCAGTTTACATGTGAAACAGGAGTGAAATAAACAAGAATAACTCACTTTGTCCTGTAAAATACACTCCAACCTGCTCAGACTGGATGCACTGCAGCAGCAAAATAATCCCACCAAATATTTTTAGTCTAGCTTCGAGTGTAAATATGTTATTACACTTGAAATAAGACAGAAGTGACTTACAAGTAGATTTTCAGCAGATATAGGAGCTTGTTTTAAGAATTTATTGAATTAAATGTTTTTAAAAACTGTTAATGGCACTAGCAGGTTATCTGTGTCCCTTACAACGAGACATCTTCCCCACGTTAATGCAAGCTCCTTTATCTTGATGAAAAGTTTCTTGTATGTCAGTCGTGTCTTATTTGAAGTGTAGCAGTATATTGGTACCAGGAACTGGACTAAAACACTTGGTAGGTTTTAGTATTTTTGTTGTGTTAATGCTACCTAAATACATCCACCTAACATAAAAAATGATTTCTTCCACTTTCTTTGCCTCTTAGTTGTCTCCAATGGCGAAAATGTCTCAGAGAAGTCAGTATCAGAAGTCAGATAAGAACCGCTTCCTGGTTGTGTACTCGCCAAACAATGCATCAAAGAACACTGCTGGAAATGCTTCTGTTACGAGGTTTTTACAAGTTTTAGGGGACGAGGGAAAAGAAATTCACAAATTTATTTAAACTGACAAACTGTTTTAGTCAATTTCTTTGTGTCTTACATGGGCAGAAATATGCATTTATAAAATGGATACCATTTTAAAGCACAATCAAGTACAACTTTCATTTGTTATAAAAATGCTATATATGTGAAATATGACAAAAGAAATTTGACTTTGTGATTTAACGCCTTGAAATTGGGCACCTGTCTCTTTAAGAAACTCCTGCTCTGTCTGAAACTCCGCCTTTAGGAAGTCATCAGAACATGGCTCGTTTACAAATACAATTGTTACGCAAATTGTATTTAAGTGAAAATTCTACTGACCATCATTTGCACTGACCAAAGAAAAAAATCTGAGAAAATATCACTTGCATAATAATTTGGAACACGGTGAACTAACCCTTTAATAACATTTTTACCAGTTTGCTACTGAGATCAATCAATCAATCAAATTTTATTTGTATAGCACATTTCAGCAAGGCATTTCAAAGTGCTTTACATCATAAACACAAGAACACAAAATCATGCAACATATAATAGACAATACATTGTTACATATTACATTTCAAAAACAGTTCTAAACAGGTGTGTTTTTAATTGCGATTTAAAAGAAGTCAGGGTTTCCACTGTTTTACAGTTGTCTGGAAGATTGTTCCAAATTTTTGGTCCGTAGATGCTGAAAGCTGCTTCTCCTCTCTTGGTTCTGGTTCTGGGGATGCAAAGCAGTCCAGAACCAGAAGACCTGAGAGGTCTGGAAGGTTGATACAACAACAGCAGATCTTTGATGTATTGTGGTGCTAAAC